TAAAATAGAGGACAGAAAGAAACGTAGTTGGAAGTGTGGTCTGCAAAACGTGATCGGATGGATATTCATAGGATGCTACCAGAGGTGACCATGGTGGAAGACTACATGAAAAAAGACAGGTACACGCTTAAAAATCTGCTCACCTAACTGCAGATTTATTGATGAATGCACTATAATAGGGATATTTTCTCAAATTTCGGAATTCCCTAATATGTGCAAGAGGAGTCGCATTGATCAAACCTACTAAATCTTTGTCACTGGGTTGCTTTGGATCCGAATGCCTAACCTCTCCCCAACGCCACATGATTTTGATAGTAATCAGCTTCATCCTCCGGTTCAATACCAAATTGCGGTTTGACGTAGGCGGTCACTCCACGTCTCGGAGCTGAACTTGCTGGCTATCATGAGATGAACAAGGGGATCACCGAGCCGTTCAGAGCTGTTCAGAACAGAATGTTAGGAAAATTGAAAAGTATCACCACTGATAGAACGGACACCTCAAACAGCCCTCCAAACAGGGAGTACTTTACATCACAGATTGTCGCGTAGCCAGTCACATCGTCGAACGCTCCATTGAAGCCTCAACACTAAGTAAAACAAGGAGAGTGTGCTTCATTGGGCGTTTTCACAAGAGCTCCAACGTCTTCATACAGAGAAGTCTGTACACAGTGGAGATTGAACATCAAAATTTGTTTGTTCAACGTTCTTTAGGAAAACCATTGCAATGACTCACACACAGGAGTGTTCGTAAGAATCCCATGTAATTACAATGAATTCGATAGCAAATAAATTGCATTTAAGACTGGGGGAATCAACGATCACCACCACTGTCCGGTGCCCAGTGTTGGTCATCATAAGATATTCTATTGCAAACTAAATAGCTTTGATATATACTAATGAAACATTTGTCCTGGTTGTATTCATATTTGGATGAAATAATAGAAGATACGCAAACCTGGTCGGTGCCAAAACGTATAAATCCGGTCGTATTTTTCACGGGATCTCTGTTCCAATCTTCCAGGCGGCCGATTCCTCTCCTGCCAGTCTTACCACACTCATAAATTTCGTCTGATCACTTCACTCGGTTTTATTTCAGTTGGTATATCAAACACCACAGAACCTAAGCCATCCCCGTCTTTCCCACTGTTCACAGGCTGTCATCCGCTGTTCCACTTCTATGCATATCCTTTCCAGTTTGCTGCTTCAAAAATGTCAACTGAAATGCCGGCGTCGATCCTGTTGTGCCGTCAGACTGTGCACTACGTGGATCTTTCAAGCAGAGATTTGAAAACTCAGCGGTATGTCTTACATTTCAACATCTATGAAAGTATATCGAACAGTGAAGATATGTGTGCTATTCCTCATATGCACGATACGGTGTACCGCGTTTATCAGGACTCTTTGTCCGCACAATCGATTCAATTGTGTTAAACACTCTATGAGTCGTGGTGGTGTCGACAGTTCACATACTAAATCTTTGATGTGGACTTTGAAAATTTCACCAAGTGAACAATTCAAAAAATCAGTAATCGGGTGGTGGTAGCGCAGTGGTTTAGTCGCTGTCACCGGCGTGCTTTGAACCTTATGGTTCGAGGTTAGAGCCCTGACACTGCCACCCGACTTCGGTGGTGCTGTCATCCGGTTTAATACCACCCTTAACCTATCGGGATCTTATGTGGTTCTCCTTTACAACTCCCGACGCTTAGGTTGCCGGTTTCAACCACTGAATAGCAGGTTCTTGTGACTATGGGGTTTACCCCGTCTGCTATTCATCACAATAAGATGCGTAATTGAAAAAATCTCATGCGAACTCATGAATCGCAGACACCGCTAAGCAGGGTGAGTGCACCACGTACTTTTTTATCAACGGAGTTGATCCCTTCGTGTTCCAGTGACGAAATATATCCTGCGTCTCTTTTGCATCCAGATACACGCGATCCAAGAACTCCGTGTCACCTGATGCGGTATTCATAAAAAAGGGACAGTTTGTGTGTTTAAAACTGTTCGTTTGTTTTCGACGAATACAAATATTAATTACGTTGAGAATTGTGATATAAATAGGTATCTGTTTGCAATGGTAATGCATATATCAAAATTGTACAAACATATCCACGCATGTGTTCCATCGGGCTTCACACTAGCTAGGGCACTATGGAGTTATCGAACAATCGTATTCATTTGGTGTATTATTGCTATTTATATAGACTGTTCAGCCAAAGTAGTCCAAATTAATTCATGGCTATCAAACAAGGAAGAAGAGTATTTCGACCAGTGGATTCGATCCGCATATAACATATCTTGAGCATAAGATGAAACGTTTTATCAGCCAGTCATGAAAATCAGATCATAATCGATTCTTTGCTAAAGAGATTTTGCATCAATCAAACCAGATGGTATCATGAAATCAGTACCATAAAATTAAAAAATGTTCTCTATACCTGGATGGAGTATGATATCAGTTTCCAAATATGTTCTTCGTACGACGATAGGGCCATGCATTCTCACGTCACCAAATCGATCAATGAATTATCGGTTCAGAAAATCCATATCCACCTGTCTATTCGTCCTAAACTGTTTAAATCTCCACAAAGCAGTTCATGTTTATACTTCTATCGGGGACCAAAGCGATTCTTTTCCCAGTATCCTTTTCTTCAACAAGTGGATGAAAAACGATGCACATTTATCGAGTTGCTCTGGTTCTAGTTCAGATCTCAAGTAGTTAACTTGAAGTAGCAGAATAAGTTCAGTGTCGTAATCGAATTATAGGACATGAGTGAACAAGGTTTTTTGTCAAGGCTCTACGACATTCGATATTGGGCGATCACAAATGTGGGACATTGCATGAGGAATGCATTTTTGTGTATGTGATTCCGTGAACAAAATATTATTCGTTCGGCACGTCGGTGTTATGGCGCGGTTAATAAAGTGCTAAATTGTGGCAAAATAACCACTCGCTGTCTTGCAAGAATCGAATGTAAAGTGAACGAGCTAAGCTCGAACACGTTTGTGTACTATTAATTAATTCAATGCGGTTTAGGTACTAAAAATAAGTCAAACTAAATAATGAATTATTATAAGAATCAACAAATGTACAGCGATGAAACTCATAGTGATTTTGAGGGAAAAAGTTACATGAATATTGCATAGGTACGTAACACAATCAGGTGAATGAGGACAATTTATTGTTAAAAGTTTCATTGGTGCGCCGTTTCATGCCTTCCTGGGAATAGTCTACCTCACTAGGAATGTATGGTATCGATCAATGGCTAAAGCAGCTTATTGTTAGGGAATCGATTGAAAATGATTTGCCTTAGTTCAAGCTAAATGACCGCACTAATAACGTGATATGGCGATCTGGGCTAGAGGCAGGCTCGTTTGAGCAGTGCTCACACGACTATTGGTTTTTGAGGCGAGTACATAACTGCAGGCTTACCGATAAAGTCACTTCGGCGTACATGTCAAGTGTAAGTTACACTGATGAAACAGGCTACAACTGTCATGTCATGCAAAAGAAACGTCTCTGAGACATCAAATTTTTAAACTGAACTCATCGCGTGTGAAAAATAACTATATTTTAAAAGTTGGTATTTACAATAATAGATACAATTTTGATCATCCGAAACATTTGCTCGGCTAATAAGCGAGCACGAGTTAGATCACAGTTCAGTCCGAGGTCTGACAATCCTGTTGTTCACAAACTCACATTCTAGCTCCTTTTGAAGGGTCCGATTAAGTAATATTTCACGCAACGCGCAAATCGGATTGGCCAGATACAACGAGGCGATGTGTTCATCGAATTGACAAAATTCACTGAGAAATCGGAAAATGAAATGCGCACGGTGTGTACGGAAAATATTGATTCTCTCTCTCTCTCTCAAACACTTGCCCGCGTGAACAACAAGTGGCGTACATAAATTGACAGGAAAAAGAATAATTACGCGGAGTTCTGATTATGACAAGAATTTTGAGTCTAATTCATCCACAAAAATTTTTCCATTTTAAAGTCATTCGCTTTTGCTATAGTTCGAGGAAAAATTGGGATTGTAAAGCTGGAGATGATCTTGCAGGTTGGATTATTAGGTTAACTCAAAATTATTCAAATCTCGCGTTTTCTTCGCCAAGAGGAACTTTCGCGGGACGAATAATCACAATTTGACTCGAATTTCTCGAATTGAAGGTTGCTCATTTTTACTAAGTTGTTTGCTCTTCCTGCGGTCGCCCGTCGCGGCACCCGGTTGACTCACTCCCCCGGGGACAGATTGTGTTTGTGCATGTCACGTTTGTTGACATTCACGACTGACCGAAAAGCCAGGTGTTTCCAATGTCCGGAAATTCAAACGAACAGATGGTTTCGTTTCTCTGTTTGCCAGAAACGCCGAACAGCCAGGTCAATACGATAAACATAATATCGTTCCGACTAATTTTCCATTCATGATATTATTGATTTTCGGCGGCTGGCGGATCTTTTGTACGCAACAATATGCATTTAAACTAAAATCCCGTAGCCAGTGATTCAGACCATTGTTTCATTCCAAAGCTACATGAGAGCAAAATGCTGGTTTTCTGTACATTCTGTTAGCTTTCAGACCTATTCGTAGATCACGTGACTAAAACTTTATTCTTTCAAGTAGCCTCTTAGCTGCACTGGTCGTCAGTACAGTTATACCGGGGACAGACACGCAAATGGACAGACACACAGATGGACAGACAGACGCTGTTCGCTCTCGTGTTTTCTCACATTTACTGGGCCATAAGAAAGTCTGTTGATCGATCATCCAGTTCACGTTGTCCCGCCCTCCTACAGTCAGGGCAAACCGAAAATCTAATTAGTCAAATTTGAATGAAATACTGAGTTATTGAAGCCCAGGACTGTACACGATGGCAAGCGAATTTGGTCACCTGACCTTATTAATTCGCACGATGACTTGTTTGCTCTCACTGTTCATCGGGGATAGTGGCGAAATTTCAAAATTAAAACTTTACGAAACATCTCTTGAACGAAAGCTGATGCATCTGAGTGGAAACAGAAAAAAATGGTTTAAAGTGTATTTCTGAGTTGTTCTCAATAGTTTTTTTTACCAACCGTTCAACCATAGAAAGATTCTGTACGATATGAGTTCACACCTAGCGAGTGCTCGCATACATGTGTTATTCCGTTTTACTCGCTTTTTCCGACACTATCACGACACTAAACAGGAGCTTATTTGACCAATTTCAACCTGCATCGGGTAAATCAATATATGTTGATTTGAGTGTACGCTTGATGCGCTTTCAAGGACGCTGTTCCAGATACGTGGACAGATCAATTAAGCCTAAATGTTTATTAGTATGAAGACTCAATGCCAGGTAAATGAAGCGCATTGAAATCCATAGCGATTCCCCTCATTTTGAGTCAAAATCAACTAGTTAGGGTGATTAACTGATCTCAGGCCTATCGTCTAGTCATCAAATAAATGCAAATATGTGGGGATATTTTGCATTCATTCGATGCTGTGCGTCGGAGTCAACTAGGGAGCTTTATTTTAGACCCCAGAGAACAGCGAACTCCAGACCAATGTGATGAACCCTGGTGAAAATTAGAATACAGTCCAGATCGGCTCCAGTTGGATGGTATATTCAAGATCAAGAATTCTTCAGCTCATGTGATTTCTTCATGAACTGATTGGTGCAACAGTAGTATGGCATATTAACAATAAAGACAGCAATTATGCAGGTTAGTGAAGTGTTCAGCTCCCAGGTAGTTGTATTGAATTATTTCTTTTTGATCAGTGGAATCATAATGTCACAGTTCTTTCTCATGTTCTTTCGTTTTGCTAGATCGGATATTGGTACGGGTCAGTCTGTGTCCGAAACTCTGGATTTTAATAAACGAATCGCCAATCAATCATTGTATCCTTCGATATTGTAATACGCGAAAGCATTGGTTAAACAAAATACCATACTTTGAAAGATAAATACTCAATCTTAGCCGATAATGTCCTCCACAGGTCACCAGTAATACCTGTTACTGTGCGCCTTGTCCACGACTCTGAATTTTCTGAATATACCCACACACACACACACACACACTACTAGTGGTCCGATGAAGACCACATTTGATACAGATGAAGCAAAATGCTTCATGGTGCAAAACCAGTATGTTGGACTCATTTATTGATTCACAAAACGTTTCATGTCATGTATGCGCGTGGAATAGAGATTTTCCAACCCACACGTACATAGTTAATCCATAATTACCCACAGTTAAATGAAATCAAATGATGATTCATGCGAAATTTCAAAAACAACTTGATCAATAAAACAAATTCCGAATTTCTAACCGGGTTTGATGAAACATGAAACATGCATAAGAGACAACTGCTGTCATGGTGAGGTAACATAGTTTAACTCGGGGAAAGTTGAAACAAGTTATGTCTCAGATGTGAGACAGATCTTGATNCCCCCCCCCTGCCCCCCCCCCCCCTGTGGCAAAGTTAGAGATAGATTGTGCGATCTCAGAACTTATTGCATAAAACCAGTGCGCATTCAAAACTCGGTTCAATTCACCAACAGCCTGTTAATGGTTGATGGACAACAAACAATCTGGGGACTTACTAAGGACTCAAAGTGGCTCCGGAAATGGATTCATTGTGCAGTGTGGAACAGCTGGTGAATTTCCCCGCGTAGATCGGAGCAAATACACTCATGCTTTGCGCTGAAACGACAAGATGAAAGAAACGAATCACACCGTTTGACAAACAAGACTACATCAGATAACTGAAGTCGGCGTGTTGACAAAAGCGATATCATTCGGTAGGTTGTGAGAATTTCCGGATGACATGAATTTAGTTCCTGAACGCGCTAATCTGAACTTTTCCCCGTGACCCGTTGATATGACGAGAAATGAAGCTCATAGCTAACCTGGTGTTTCCCTGTGGTAACTGGCAATCTTTGCTCTGGGCTTGAGACAACAACAACAACAACAACAACAACAACAACAACAACCCTCATATGTTCTGAAAGCGAACAAATACGTGCTAGGTTGATAGGGTGTATGATCAGTTTGTTATCAATCCCTATCGGTTTCCAGTAGCCTTGCCCTCAGATTATCTCAGATTTGTTGCTAATCGAATACATGGGCTGTAAACTGAAACTATTGATGCAATGCAAACGATGGACAACATAACTTTCATTACTAATAACAAAACATGAGAGTTTTCAGACGATTGGTGACTATTTACAGGCAGTTCATACGTCAGACATGTGATTTAGACTATTTTTTTCCAATTTGTATCACTCATTGTAACATACCTCCTGGATAGCTGAATAAGTTATACTTTGGAACTTCAGTCATTTCTCATTGTGTACATGGTAGTCAACAATGAAAAAGTTTCACAGATCAGAACGGTTTTGCTCAATTCCGTTTCTCATCCACACGTAAATCACTTCCGGCGAGGGTTGGGGTGGCGTAAATCGATTTGTTTTGCAGGGCACAGCTTCCATTTGAACAAGAAATCAGATCGGATTGTCCCAGCTATGCGCCAACCCCACAGAGAGCGAGAGAGAGACCGCAATGTCGGACAAGAGGATTCTGTGTTTTGCCGGTACAGGTCATCACCATGCCCCCCGTGTTAGGTTTATCCACATTGTAATCCAGCAAGTGCCACCTCCGTACCGTGGTTGCACCCTCACTACTACTACTACTACAACTACGATCAGTTCGTTGCGTTCCAATCCCCACGGTTTTCTCTCACACATGACCTCATTTCAAGGAATAGTGCGTAGCCAGTAACTAATTCCATTGAACACGGGACCGCGAATCGATTAGGTTTGGACCGCGATCGAATGCCTCATGTTTGGGGGTATGTAGACAACCTTGTCTCGAATGCAACGTGTGGAGAGGTATGAACAATGTCTCCTTGTGAGGATTTCCGTTTTAAATTACTACTCACATCTATCAAGTAGTCCGATCCGTAAACATTTTCCCACTGATTCATTATGCTCAGAGACTAGCTCCTGCTAAGATAAGTTGTACTGTAAAATGGTTAGATGAAACGACAGTAGTATCATCTGACGTACAGTGATCATTTAGGCAGTATCCCTGACCTGAATGAAGTCCCCGATTCGATCCTCAGCCAGATTCATGGTTTCGCACTGCTGAATGGACACGATGGAGCCAGACCAGTTGTGTACTGTGCTTCCCAATTTTTTAGTTCATCTTCCTGTCGCCCTGCTATGAACTTATTGTATTCGGGAAATACGCAGTATTTCATGGATAGTTTGTTAGAGGAACGACTATTTTCGTTTGCATCAGTACGGACGCCCCATTCAAATGTGCCCTTTAAATGTAAGCTAAAAATAGCACATACTACTGGGATGGAAAATTAAAGTTACGTTTTGATTTCACAGATGATGGGTAGGTTCCAAGAAGTTTCAGAAGCGACACGGGATGGGAAGAGATATCTAAGAGTTCCTTATTAAAGCCCGAGGCGCGCTTCCGCATCGTCTGATCAGTGAAGTTCTGATTGAGGTTGTAATGTACTGGGCTTGTGTGATCATTACGGATTTGGATCCCAAGCTCATTCATCGTGTGCATGGATTCTCACTGAAAGCACAGTTATCACATTTGAATAATGAGTAGCATGTTAGATTATCAGACAAAATGCCGCCGGAGCAAAATAGGATTTTGTTGGTGTCGTGAGAACTCCAAGTTATACCACGTTTACTCATATGAACAAGGACAGGTACAATGTAGAATTGATTATGAAGTGAATTTTCATAGGACACAACAAATTCAAATGGCGCAGAAATGAGATTTGTTTTGCACTTGTTGCTTTGCTTCTCACAACACTTCATCTATGCAACTTTAGTGGTCAAACAACAAAAAAGGAGGAGTTCCGCATGCCATGTAGACCTGAACAACACTAGCTTATAACAAAATTTCGAACCAGAATCACAAGAAATCGACAATATCCGCGGATGCTTTTCAATCAGATCAGTTGTGTTAAAACCACTGTACTGAAGTTGGTACTACGTTGTTCAGAGAGGTCATATTCTGATTGCAGAGTCCTGAAGTAGAATAACTCATCAGCGGGATGTACAGATAAACTGGATTCAAAACTAGTAAATATTGAGCAGATTTCCGACAAATATTAAAAAGCGAAGTAACATTCTTTGGACACGGCAGTGACCACAAGCAAATAACTTCACAAATTCATTGAAGAATAGGGGTGAATTTCGTGAGTAAATTTCATCTCGAGAATGGGAAAGAACGATAAACGTGTATGTGTATTGCTTTGATCGAGGAAAAGAGTAGTGAACAATGACCCGGCATCCAACTCCAATCAAAACGGAGAATATATGTCGACCTGAAGCCTACCTCTCGGGGTAAAGAAGTATCCATTCTTTGGAGAGTAAACATTCCGGACGTCCACTGAACGACATGTTTGAATTCTTGAAGTACTGACGAATAAGATCCTCCCCAGCTACCGTTTTGTGACTTGGGCACTAATTGAAGTTCGATATTATTGCTTACGACATTTTGAAAAGAATCTATACATGATAGTTTGGGAATGTGATTTTAAATCACGCATCAATCGATCGATCTCATCTCGGAATACAGAGACGCCAAATAAAACACAGACATCAGCTAATCGCCGTCTGAGTGATGAAGAGCGATGATAAACAATCGGGAACCATCGTCTGGAACCGAAATATCAACCTGGTCCTGTTTTCCTGCAATCCACATGAAAGTGGATTCTGCCCCACTGGATAGTCACAGACACACAGCAACTATGCTTGTCTCTCTTTCTCTCTCTGTGTGTGCATAACACAGTTTCTCATCACACACTTACCGTTAAAGTTTTCCGGCCTCGTGCGTTCCGAGGTTGCGTACGCCGGAATCGGAAAGCCCATATTGGTGTGCGGATCCCAGTGCACCGCTAGACCCAATGTGAACGGAGTTTGCGCTATCGGAGCAGAGAAATATTTCATGGTCGCCCGGAATGTGGTATGCTGTTCGTGTAAGCATCGAAATCGATCACGCGAGGGAAAGGTGAAATAGGGGGAGACAGTGTATACAGTTGACAAAGTCAAATAATAATNAATAATACATTGTATCGACAGCAACGGCTTGTGACAGATATTGAGGCGGTCTGAAGATTGAACACATTTATTGGTCCAGTTACAGTTCTCGAGGTGCTTCATGGATCATAGCGATTGATTTTTCTTCTATTTTGTTATACATTGATTTCGTGACGCAGCAGTTATTTCACAAGAAATCAGTCATTTATTACGGGGATATATCCTCTTCTTCGACATTCAAAATAAATTTTCAATTTTTTAAAATTTACCTAGATATTAAGTGGAACTGCAAACGAAGCACACTTCTCACTTTGGGTGAACAACAACAATATGGGTGTTGTTTTTTTCTGCTCACTCTGTCCGATGATCACGTGGTTTATGGATAAACAGACGTTTTTTGCAGACAAAGACTAATCCCGTCTGGTACCGATTTGGCTAGTTATTGATCCANNNNACAACAACAACAACAACAACAACAACAACAACAACAACAACAACAACAACAACAACAACCACGAAAATAACATTACCAACAACACTGATGATGATGGTAACAACGATAGAAACAGTAACACTAATGAGCATATGATGAAAAAAAACCGCTTTCGCCAGTTTACTGGTATATATCCCCATATCTTCCGTAGTGGTCGAGTAACAGTATGTGTTCTAATTCTGTTCCCACAGACAACCACGTGCCACTTCAGGCATCTGTCACAATTGCATGCATTGTATGATATGCATTGCGAATCCCTCGATGTGGGGCTCTTACAGGTAGCCTCACAATGGTCGGAAGTGGGTGTCTAGGGTTGTGGCTGGTCACCCTTCCATTGCACCTCGCGAAATGCTCCCATACGACTAATTGTCTCAACTAACCTCTGCTGAGGAAGCCCTACTTGCTGTCTTCCCGTGGCGGAGTTGTTTTCCCACCAAAGTGGGAGGACGAAAAGCCGATATCCGGGGATACAACGGGGTTGTTGAACCACTGCTAGTTCAGCCAAGGGAAATGTCCAAAAACCTTGGGTCGAAACCAACGAAGAGGAGGCGTACTACCCAAACACACACAGAACTTCCTGGTTGTGGCATTGGTCACCGGGTCGATTGGGCATTGAGGTGTATTCGACACCTTGGACGTTTGACCCCGTCTAAAAGACATCTGATCCGATGAACTGGACACCGGATCCCAATGGATTGCAATATGTGCACACCGCCCCACTGCCTTGTGAGTCAGACATATATACATATATTTATATATAAAGGTATTACTCAGTTTACTGAAGAGTACTGGATCACAATAGGTTATTTGTAATGCCCACACCAATGAATGATGTTTCATTGTGAGTACTGAAGCTAACTGATATTAGCACTTAGTTGGAAAAATTTCGAATCCGACCACTTTGAAGTAATGAGTAGGGTGAGATATTATACTATTATGATGTTCGATTGTGCCTGTTTTTCATGTCAAATAGAAGATCAATAAAACTTCACAGTGGATAAAGTCTGATCAAATTTTATTCCAAGTAGTTCAACAGAAATCCCAGTTGGTTAATTCAGTCGAATTGTCCATTCCCGGTGCGTCGTTCATTCAAAATTTGAAAATCTCTTCGCACTTTGTTTCATTGCTTCAATATATTATCGCCAAAATCTGTCTGATCTATCTAATTAGTGTTCACGAGATACGGTTTTGCTATGATGGAATAAGTGGATTGGTTTTATCCTTGCGCAAATGCATAGAACTCTCACTATCGCCATCATCTCATTCCCAAAAATCCTGTATTTTTGAGCTGCTCGATGCCACCCAATAATTTGAGCCAGTATTTCGGATCAATTTCACCGTAGATCACCATTCAACATATTTCTTTTATGCAATGGAGCATTGTAAATTCACAAATTTGCTCACTGAACGAAGCTTCTCGGATGGCAGGTGCTGCGTTAAAAAATTCTTACATTCGGAGTTCCCTTTAAGAATTTCATCTGACCGAGAACAAGTTTCATCATAGAACCGGGTTGAATTCANACGTATATCCGCGGAATTTCACTGTCAAGTATAGCAATAACACAGAGACTAGGGCTGGGAGAAACGACGTAACAAAGAAAAAACTGTTCCCATCACATTTCTATTTAAAGCTATTCAGAAGGAGAAACTAATACAACATCAACTGAAACAAGCTCTTTCAAGAACGTATAATGCTACTTCGCTAATTGTTANACGAATGATTACTGAATCAACCTTGGATAAACTGAACTCTCAAGTTACCTTATCGTGTATTTACGTTTTTCAATGCACTTGCGGTAGCAAGTATATAGGGAGAACTGAGAGACACTTGACCACTCGGATCTCAGAACACTTACCGAGAAATTTTGCACTCAATGGCTCGAGGGTCCTCCAGATTTATTGCCCGCCATATATTGAATTGCAAACTTTGCGTCGATCCCAACCACGCATTCTGAGTTGTAAACCAACAGAAAACTGGGCGGTTGCTGCGGTTTGCAGAGACCGTAGCTATTCGGTGTCACAAACTAGACCTCTCCAAACAATTAGACTTTCTGACCAGTCTTACCCTACAATGGTAGGGCTGTCACCGTCATTCCGATTGATAAGCATGTTCTCCCACCCTTTTTGCGTGGTAAACCCGAGTGTGACCGGTTTCTTTTGACTTTCGTCTCGATTTTTCCTGGTCAATTGTTTTTGATTTTTAAAGATTTCTCATTGTCCTGATCTTCTGACTTTCATATGAATGTTTGTACACAAAGCGGAAGAGATGACGCGGAGCAGGTGAATGCAACTTGCTCTCTGATGATGCTTGTTCTCGCGCTTATGATATTTCTCGTAATAGACAAAGGACTGACGTTCTGAGTCATTTTATCAGCTCTTTCACGGAATAGTAAAATTGCATACCAATGGACACCAGTGTTGCATAACCTGTCGTGATTACTACTGACAGATTCAATTTATTTTTATATAAGTCTCCTTTCCGGCTGTGCAAACTGTGAACTAAGTTGTAAAGGGTACAGGAGTAGGAAACTATGTGAATTCCATTAGAGAAACAGGGGGGACATGGAGCTTACAATGATGGTTTACACACCACAGACATTTCGTCGAACTCTGCTCATCCCTATGCTTTTCAATATGGTTTGCTCGACAGGCATGCGATAACGATATATAGATATACATATATAAATGTATATATATATATATATATATATATATATATATAATAGTCATCC